GTCCCCGGTCCGAGCCACAGCAGCGCGGCCACCGAGCTCTCATGAAGTCCGGGCCGGACTCCGGTTCCCGCACTTTGGTCTCATCATGTTGTCACAGAATCAAGACTCTGACATGGAGCTCCAGAGCGCTCCGGTGCGCACTTTACGCAAACAAACTCCGCGTAAAACTGGATGGAAACAGGTTGAGTTTGGTTTTATCCACAAAATAAAAACACTCATTTACACCGCTAACTCATAATTGTTAAACAAGTGCTCATAAAGTTCTGTTTGTCCTCTTGAAAAAAAACATTTTGTGTCTGAAGATGACAAAACAGATTTGATCAAAAGCGCGATAAAAATCCTCAAATCATGAGAAAGTGAAGGAGGAAGTCCATGTCTCTGCTCTGGTGAAGAGTGACGACCAAGCGAGGCGTCTCTGCGGTCAAACAGCGGTGAGTGTGTCGGACTGCGGGTGTTTACCTGCAGCCTGCTAAAGGCCACTGGGGCCAAATTAGCCGATTAAAGCCGCTTATCAGCTGCGCTTTACGGTGTCCTTCCGTCCTTGAGCTCCAGCAGGACACAGTCTGTCTATCTGACTGTCTGTCAGTCTGTCTCTCTGTCCGTGTGTGTGTGAGAGTGTGGGTGCGCGCGTGTGTGAGGTGACGAGCGCCCGCTGCAAAAAATATCCACAACTTCATTTAACAGTCAATTAATTAAAGAGGGCAGAGAGGTGCAGTAACAAGAAGCGAATATATATATATTACACAATATTATAAAATACAATATATAGGCTACACATAAACCTTTAAAAGGCATTATTTCACTTTAGAGGTGTAATTAAAGACATTTAATGGGATTTTTTAAAATTCCTGGTAGATTAGGATTATGACACATGATAATACACAGATCATGAGTGCTTCACAATAGACATTTGTCTCTGTGCTTTAGTTTCATGTCTGGCGGTTTGTGTGCTCATAATCTGTTCATTCATTTGGAAAACACGACAACTAAACCCCTTAATTTCCAGAGCCTTTAATTAACAAGTAAATTACTCCTTAAAATGGACCAAAAGCATGAAAGCAAACCCTGAATATTCACTTTTATTCAAAATGTAGGTCATGTAAGAGAGTTGTTTTATTTATGCCTTTTGAACACCCTTAAACCATGGAGATAAACCATTAACCATCTTCATTAAGATGAAAATTCAGGTATGTTTTTAATGTTACTTGGTTTATTAAAAAAAAGATTCTTCTGCCAATTCAAAACTGCTTAAAAAATGCCGATAATTCAGGTAAACTCCTTTAATATTTAATATTTAAACAATGTGATAGAAGACACAGAAGTCAGGTAAAGAGGCCCCCTTGTGCATCATTTATTACTAGATGTGAAATAAAGTTTAAACCAAAGCCTCTTTAGGATCAAAGAGTTTCAAAGTAAAAGCCTTCAATACTCTTGGAGAGATTTGGAGGTTTGAACAGGTTGACATTATTTGGTTTACAGGAGGAATACCCCCCCCCCCCCTCCCCCCCCAGAGTGAGCAAACTGCAGGAATCCTCTGCTACCGTTTAGTCTCAACATCTGGATTTTTTTAAATCAAGAGATCAGAAACATCATGGAGGCTGAATACAACCTGAGTGAAACTATAAAACATTTTCATGTTGTGGACATACGATCATTTAAGTACGATGGCTAGGGTGGTTGCACCGTGGTTTTTGGCATTGATACATGGCTAGGGTGGTTGCACAGTGGTTTCTGACATTGATACATGGCCAGGGTGGTTGCACAGTGGTTTCTGGCATTGATACATGGCTAGGGTGGTTGCACATGGTTTCTGGCGTTTACATGGCTAGGGTGGTTGCACATGGTTTCTGGCATTGATACATGGCTAGGGTGGTTGCACAGTGGTTTCTGGCATTGATACATGGCCAGGGTGGTTGTACAGTGGTTTCTGGCTTTTACATGGCTAGCGTGGTTGCACAGTGGTTTCTGGTTTTTATACATGGCTAGGGTAGTTGCACAGTGGTTTCTGGCGTTTACATGGCTAGGGTGGTTGCACAGTGGTTTCTGGCGTTGACATGGCTAGGGTGGTTGCACAGTGGTTTCTGGTTTTTATACATGGCTAGGGTAGTTGCACAGTGGTTTCTGGCGTTGACATGTCTAGCATGGTTGCACAGTGGTCTCGTTTCATACAGGGAACAGTGGTCTCCTGGCTGAGAGATCGCTGGTTGTAAGTCCTGTATTTGTTGGACACATCCTCCTCATTTCCCTTATTTTTTGGATGTTAGCATGCCGCCACTGCGGTTTTTCTTGAATTAGCATAAAAAAATAAAACGAATAACAGAAATATTAGACATTTTAATCAGTGTGAAAGTTCACAGTTCCTTCCATTAAGAAATAAGAGTCCCCTCCAGTTGTCAGGAGGCTACAAATAGGTCACGCTGAGTCCCTGAGGGAAAACACGCTGATCAAGCCGACAGGCTGTCGGTCTCCTCCGCTTCGTGGTTTATGTTAATCTGACGTATGAACGGGTGTTAACGAGTCCATAGGATTCACATTCAGAGCGTTTGGATGGGTGTCGGAGCTCAGCTGCTGTTTTAACTCAGTCAATCTGAAATCATCGCTGCAGGCCAGACTTAACGTGTGAACATCAGTCTTCCTCTCAGGAAACACGAGCTATGATGAAATGCAATGATGCAGTCACATGACCTCACCTGTTTCCAGGCGACACTGTCTTGGTGCAACGTCCTCAGTGTTTTTCTAAAATCAGAGCAGTGATTTGAAGGAAACTAACTTTGATATGCTTTCGATTTGTATTCTTATTATGATTAAAAAACGTGACGGAACAGTAGTAAATGCCAGTTTTGTGTTCACAAACAACTAAATGTGATTACAGTTTAATTCAGTGTTGCTCAGTCAGCCAGTATTTTCACACTGCTTTCACATGTCATTTACATACTGCCGCTGCCCTCCAGTTTGCTTCAGGATCCAACAGATGCTTAAACATCCTCCTCCTCCTCCTCCTCCTCCTCCTCCTCCTCCTCTTCCTCACCCTCCTGCCTGTGGCTGAGAGCAGAAGGAGCAGAGTAAAGAAAAGAGGAGGGAGCTTCATTGCCGTTTAGTCTCATAATATATTTTCTTTTCAGCAACGTAAACAGCTGCAAGTTGAGCGTCACTGTTGACTTTTAGCTCTTGTAACACTCTTCTTCCCAGAACCTGACATTTAAAAAGAAACGACAGCAGGACTTCCTGTTTTTGCTCTGTTTTGTCGGAGAGTCACTTCAGAGGTTGTGAGAAGGAGTTGATCTGATGTTGTTATTAATTTTCTATCAGGTATTCTCTGAATCAGGGTCCCTGCTGAGACCGACACAAACCGATCGGTGGTCAAATCGCTTTCATAGTTCTTCAGTTTGCTCCGCTGTAGCAATATGAACCCTTATTTTTCTATTTTGACCTTTTTAATTTTTAATTTAACTAATCATGAACAGCCTCCACGGGGACTGTTGAGGGCCTGGACTCTGACCCTGGTCTGAAGGTGTTTTTTTAATGTGAGGCCTTGTTATGATGATGGATCAGCTGGGCAGTGATGTCATCCAAACCTCAGAAACATTACACAACTAGGAACCAGATGCTGGTGATATTTAACTCCAGTTTGTAAAATACTTTGCTTTTTGCGATTCCAGGTTTCTCTGAATCTCTAAAATGGATGTGACGAGTGCAAAGTTAGCTCGACCCAAAGAGCCACAATAGCCACTTGTATTGAAAACACGTCAGGTTAAAATGAACCTGAATTTTTCTCTAAGGCCATTGGATCCCCTGACGAAGTCCTGGTGCTTCCTCCCCGACCATTGGTATAAAGAACCCCGTCAAGGACCACTGGATCCTCCACACGTCCAAGGCTCTCTGAGTGAGTTTCAGCGGTTTTTCTTGAAGAGCCTTGAAGGTGGTTCCACTGGTTCTTGAGGAGGTTCTGGTGGTTCGTCAAGGACCACTGTAACCTTTTCAAGGAAAACCAGGACCTACTCAAGGATACACAATCAAGAACCCTTCAACCCTTTTGAAGGACCACTGCACTGGGAACCACCTCAAGGACTGCAAGAGTTCCTCAACGTTCGCTGAACCCATCTCAGGAACCATTAGAACAACATTACGGAGCCACAAAACATCCTTGAAGACCATGGGACCTACTCAAGAACCCACAAAATCACTTGAAGGACCAGTGGAGCCCTGTCAAAGACCAATACAACCTCCTTTAGGACTGCTAAAAACCTCGTGAAAGACCCTTAAAACCTAATGAGGGTGCCACCACGTTACCACTAGGATTTTCAAGGACCACTAGAACCTTGTTAGATAACTAGGAGCTATTGGAACCACTTATACTACAAAGAGGTTAAACCCAGCAATGAATTAATCCTGATGTCTTGTCTATTTTATATCTTTCTCCTTTAAGAGAAGGAATAGGATCCAAGTTCATTTATAGACTGAATTAGTTCATACAAGTTTTGTTTCAGCAGCAGAAACAAAACTTCCTGGCGGTCTATTGTTTTAAATTAAATATGTTTGTGTTCAGGACGTGGAGCTGAACAGGAGCTGATGATGGCAGCATTCATCAGAAACCTCACTCAGGATAATGAAAACAAAGTGTTTTCTGCTACGGATCATATGAAACTGTCAGAAACAGACGACCACACCAAGCCGTTTCATTTCACTGAACATGTTTTAATTTGTGGCAGCAGAAACGAGGCGGCGGCTCCCGATGACATCGACTCAGCCTCCGTCTGATTTACATCCTCCGATGACTGAAACTGATCACATGAACCTGCTGGAATCTCTGGATACACTCTGTTGTTCTGATTATATTTATGATCTATAACATGATCTGGAATATCTTCCAAGGCCTCATAAACCTTTAAAGGAGCACAAGGCCTCCTCAAGGACCCTCAGAGGAACCCTGGAAGCACATCTGAAACCTGCTCAAGGACCACCATACCATTACAAATCCAAACATTAAAACTGACACAATCTAAAATCTCAGTAAAACCAAACGTACAGACTTTAATGAAAGACAAAAATGGTAAATCAGTGCACAACACAGGAAGTAAATGACATCTCAGTACTTCCAGTCACTGTGGATGGATAGATGTCCAACAGCCTGTAAGACAGACGACAAAACTCCAAATGTTCAAGGACCCCAAAGACCCCTGCTGCCTCTTCTAGGACACCTGGAACCGTCTCAAGGGCCTTTGTAGCATTCAGGACTACAGACGAAACCCATCAAGGACCACTGGAGCCTCTTCAATGACACCTGAAACTTCCCCAAAGATTCCTGTAATTTATTTATGGAAACCTAGAAACTTGTCAAGGAACAATGCTGCCTCTCCAAGGACCCTGGAACCCTCTTAAAAAAACAATAATGTAATTAACAGCCAGTTGTTTTGTATTATCTGCCTGTTTGTGTCTTAAACACTTTACTGACTAAAGTTCTCTGCTGCTATCTGCTGGTCATTTTTAAACACCACAGCTACAAAAACATAACTGCATTTCCATTTTAAAAATATTTTATATGTGCATACAGAGCTTTAGAAACAGGTGAAGCTGTTTTATCAACATCCTGAGCTGAGCTGGTCTAAAACTAAGTGACGGAGCAGCAGAGGACATGAAGAAACTCAAAATACAGACAGTAATCCAACATACCGCTGCAAGTAAACGCAAAGTAACAGACAAAGTAGCAGAACGTTTCTACATTTACAACAGAAGCTTTCAAATACGTGTAGATAATGAAACTGGAGCCATCCCACCATTAAGATTCAACAGTCAAACACAAGGAGTTCAATTTAGTAGTATACATTTCTCCTCATTAATAACAGGATCAGAGTTAAAGTGATAATACAGTTAACTACAGGGTGAAACGTTTGTGATTTATTCAGGTTTATTTATATCATCCAATTAAGAGAGCTCAAATTAAAACACACATTAGTCATCAAAAGATATAGAACTAGTTTACTGCTGTGTGACAGTGTCCAATCCTGTGGTTGGAATGTTGGTGGTGGGCGGGGCTTAGCTTTACATAATTTATCACTGATTGGCTCTTTAAGGCTCAATGAGCTGAAAACATTTGTTGACTTGAAATTTATTCTGCGGTTTAGGCAACTTGGTTTAAAGACACAGTGGAGCTCTTGTGAGGTCATGTGACAGTGCACTCCCCCCTCATGATGTCATCAGTCAATGACGCCGTCGCTGAGCAGGAAGTGAGGTCGCAGCACGGACAGGATGGGGCTCCGCGGGGCCCCGGCCAGACAGTACGCCTCGTCCACGCTCAGCCCGCGGGACCGCAGCGTCCGCAGGGCGACGCCGCAGCTCTCCCTGCCCCCGCTCGACGTCACCAGGACGATGCTGAGGGGGCTGTCCAGCATGCCGAACCTCCGCCGCATCTCGCCGAGCCGAGCCGAGAAACTCTGCGAAGCAAGAACGTTGAACTACGCTTTGGAAAAATCTTAATTAAAACTGTAAAGACGACATATTAGCGGGGTGTCGCTGCGAGTATACCTGGGCGGCCTGTTGGCTCGCCGGCACCGGGCCAGTGTCGGGCCGGACGACGGCGTCCCCGCACAATATCACTCTGAGCTGCTCTGGCGGAGCTACCTGCCGGTCCAGCACCGCCGAGAGAACACCTGGACCAATGACAAGGAGGATGGTTCACCTTCCAACGTCACATGTACCTGGACACCGGTCAACACATTAACAAACATTATCAAAACACACTGATTTCTGGGTAAACTGAGCTTTGAGGAGGAAACTATACAAGTTGAAAGCGACCAACGTTGCTCATAAATGTTTTTTAAGATCAATATTTATACATCCTGACAAGTACAGTGGAGCATTAGGGCCACTGTGGGGCAACAAAGGGAGGTTCTGAGTATACAAATAGTCTATTTGGGGATAAAGTGTTCCTTTAGTTTGAATATTTATAATGTTGTAATATGTCTTTGGTCCAGACTAAAATATCTAAACAACTGGATATCAATCACACATCAGCTCTGATTAATGCCAGAGAAGAAGAAACCTCCCGACCTTTCTGTGACGCCTGCAGCACCTCATTTCTGTCCGTCGACAGGAAGAGCTGCACATCATTTTTCAGTAAACTCTCGATGAAATCCTCCTGACTGGAAAAGCAGAACCGGCCGACTTCAAGACCTGCAACAGAGCGACGATGACATCATGACAGGAAGTCTTCAACAGGACTACAAAAACTTCAACTCTGATCAGCTGTTGACTGTAATCTGTAGGTTGAGGGTTAAAAGTTAGATTACCGTAATGTCTGGTGATGGAGACGATGGTTAGAACTAGATTACCGTAATGTCTGGTGATGGAGCTGATGGTTAAAGTTAGATTACCGTAATGTCTGGTGATGGAGATGATGGTTAGAACTAGATTACCGTAATGTCTGGTGATAGAGTTGATGGTTAAAGTTAGATTACCGTAATGTCTGGTGCTGCTGATGATGAGGGAGCTCTGCTGCTGTTGCTGGCTGTCGGTGGTGATCAGGACGACAACAAACAGCAGCGACTCAGCAGGATTTTCCTCCAGCAGGCGTTGGTTCACTCTCTGCAGCGCCTGAATTATGAACCAAATCAAGAATGTTCCTTTAGAGCTTCCATCTGGTGTTATTCTATATTGTTCTTTATGGACAAATATGGAGCGCTATGGCACAGAGGAAGAAGGTATATGAATGAATAATAAACTATTCTTACATACAGGAATCTAAGATGGATAACAATTTATCTCTACACACAAAAACAGCAGTAAAACGTTTTAAATGTATGTTTAATTCTGACCTGCAGCAACGGGAAAGCAACGCCCATTCCGTACACACCATCACCATCATCAGATTCAAACACTGCACGAGTCGTGACCGCAACGACGACTGCACGATCAGCATCTTTCTGTAGAGGAAGACACAAAACCTGCATCTTCATCCAACAATACTCAGCACACACAGGACGTGTATGAAATCACCAGAGGTTCATCACAGGACCAACATTAAAACACTGCTGAAAGAAGAAAATAACATCATTTGAAGTGAAACCTGGCCTTTGACCTCATATAATCATGTTAACCAAAGCATGCTGCACATTTTAGAAAACGCTATTGAACAATGTCTCACTGTCTGAAAGAATAGTTGTGCTTGTTCTGTGCAGCCAGAGTCTCTTGAGTCTTGGCAGACACTCCTAATTTTAGCCTCATATTCTGCGTCTGAATCCCCATCACAAAACATGCCATTTTATCATTGTGCCAGCAACAGGTGAAGATATATCATAGTTTAAAATTGACTTATAGTGTATTTAAACTACCAGTTCCCGTTCATCAATTCAGCATACATAACACACACTATATATCCATTTTCATTTACTTTTAAAATAGGTTTGTCGCTATGAAGGCAAATCACTGTCAAAATCCGAGAGCACAAATGAGAACCACGTGCGCGTATTTTACTTTGACGAGCGCTTTTACATCACTCCGCGAGCGAAATTCCCTCTCGCGTGAGCAAAAGTCGCTCGCGAAACTTTAACCTGCGCGCTCGCGAGTAGTTTTTCTTGTTGACAGTAAGTGGGCGGGCCCAGTCTCCATTGTGTGTGTTGTTTGATTTGCGCGTGGATCTCATTTGCGCTCTCGGATTTTGACAACGGACATAAAGCTCATTTACTTTATGAGCTTTATGTCCGTGATGTTCTACAGAAAATGAGGAAACTGTCAATAAAATACGTGATTATTTAAATGCAATCTGGTGATAAACGCTGAGAAATGGCACAGAATACAGCGTGGCATGTCTAATATTTACCAGAGCTGGATTACATCTGGATTACATGATATGTCTTTGCAGAAGAGACAGTCCTTAAAATAAAACCCGCCTCAGGTGAGACTTACCTGCTTCACGTCGGTGTTCTGGATCGTGGAGAGCATGTCCGCCTCTTAGCTGAAACAACGCAGGTTATAAGCAGTTATATGCAGTCTTGACAGCTGAATCTACCAGTTTATTCACATGTCTCAACACAGTACTACCACTGAACTGGCTGTGAAACTAAATTAGTTAAAAGTTCCCCCCAGAAACAGAGAAGTGCCCGTTTAAGGTTCCGCTCATAAAGGTTCCGCCTCTAAAGGTTCCGCCTGACTGCGCTTCGGACGTTCGCTTTAAGAGCACAGCGTGATGGCGTCACTTCCGGGCTACCCCGCCCACGGCACAGTGATTGTTATGGACAGGTAGACACGGACGGTTTCGCCTTTTTTAACTTGGTTTTTAACTACCGCCTAAAAACCTCCACAGCTGGACTGAGTAGCTCGAGGGAGAGAAGGGAGGTGGTCTGGAGCGGGTCTAGAAGAGGACCGGTTTGGAGCAGATTTGACCCGGCTTGTAGCGGGTTTTGTAACCGGGTCTGGACCGTTGGTAAAGAAGAGAAGGAGGGAAAGTTTGCCTCAGCTTCAGGTTCACGGTGAGAAAACCTTCATCTGCTCCCTCTTTCCTTCCTTCCTCACCTTGTTCCCTCTTCACGTCTCTCACTGTGAGGGTGTCCAACGCGGTACCGGCTCGGCTTCCTGTTCAGCCTCATCGAGGTCGACAGGTAAGCAGCAGGTGGTGATTGGCTAACACCTGTTCAGGTGGTGCACAGAAGCGGAAGGAGACTTTCAGATCAGCCAGTCAATGAAACAGTCACTTAGATGTAAATGTGTGTCCTTCAGTCTGTAAGCAGTGGTGGAATGAAACTAAGTAGACTACATGTACAAGTACTGTACTTAAGTACACGTTCAAGGTACTTTACTTGAGTCTTTATTTACTTTACAAATCACAGTTTTCCTGTTCAGGTAAAACCAGGTAACTCCAGATGTGTTGATGTTGAATGTTTGTGATGAAGTTTGAAGTTTATACATTAATGCAGAAGTAATATTAATCCAGAAACATCATATGTAATATAATATAATAGTAAAACACAGACGGGAAACGTTTTGCTGCACAATTAATTATTTCCCTTGTCATACATTTTGCTGATCCACTTGTAGTGGAGTATTTTTACAGTGTGGTATTAGTACTTTTACACAAGTATAGGAACTAAATACCTCTTCTCTCTGTCAGTGACTTTAACATCACTCACTAATTATGTCAGTAAATACTCAGTCGTGACGAAAGCAAACAGTCAAACAATTAGTGAGTCGTTTTAGCGTGTCATCTGAACAGAAGCAGTCAGACCGGTCGGTCCTCTGTTATCTGTAGACAGTCAGATGTTTGTGATTAAACTATAAAGACATTCCTACATGTCCAGACAGTGTGGGACTCATGCATATAGGTTA